AGCAAATACGGAAGCGCAGTGCTCAGCCACCATCCTTTTCCTTGGAACTCTGGATGTAACGGTCATCTGAAACCTCATCAACTAGTTTCCCAGAATTTTCTCTAAAGAAAAGAATTATATCTAGTAAACAAAAATTTTGGTTCAATCCCTCAAAAAGACATTCAGGAGAGCCAGGTTGGAGTTAGGGAGTTATTTTATGGGCAAATCAATGTGGAAGGCCCCAGATCAAGGCTCCACATAGAATCTCTCAGCATGAATTTTCACAGACTGACTTCTTATGAAGCATTTCTACTTTACTCATACAAAAGATGAATTCATAAACACCAGAAACAGGGAAAAATGGGTTATAGGGCCAGACTAGGGTATTGAAACAATATCTTAAAACGGCCATTTCTGTGTTATAATGTCACACAGTCTATGTAATGCTATCAGCCATTCAGCTTCTACTTTGATGTTCCTTTAAAAGTTTTACTCTGCATTGGACACTATCACCCTTAATGGTGCAGTCTTATGCTCAATGTCAAACTCTAAAAGTTCACGTAAGAGGCAGAACAGCCATTTTCACAAGAAAACTGTTGTCTCTCAGCGGGGCGATAGAAGTTGCTGGTGGGTCATCTGAGGTGTCACTTCTAAATAAGATGTGTGCAGTGGGCATTTTCTCAATCTTCCTGCATTTCAGTGTCTTCAGCCATAATGGCATCCTCTTCTTAGTCCCAAGGGATCTTGACTAGCTGATCCAGAATCAGATTTTGTCTCAGTTCTCTGAGTTGAAACATTTCATATAATAGCACAGACTCTGTGTCCCTTGTCTTTCTTTATCCTATCTAGTAAACAGTTTTAATGTCAGAATGGTTTTTCACATTTCCCTTAGTTAAGACAGTAGGAGCTCATACTTCGTGTATCTTATATAACTCATCTGTCTCAGTGTGTGAGGTCAGAGAATTCTGCCTAGGGTCACAATGCCCAACAAGAAGAGATAACCTTGCCATGAACGAAAAAGGCCCGAGGCAAGTTGACTTAGCCTGTCTCTCCCCTGTTAATTCCCTACATACACCACAGTGACTTGCAGGAGGTGACCAGGGGGAGGGGAGTGTATAAAATTACAAATAGATTATGAAATGTTAGACTAAGAGATCTCTTATGGCCTGAATATACTGATCAAAACACATACCTTTGAAGACACATTTAGCCTACATAATACCTACACCCATTTCATTCTAAAACTTCCTGAGTCACCATAACATATACGTGTCTCTGTCTCCTTTCAAGAGGAGTTGCCCCAAGGTGATTCCCAAAGTGCTTTGGTCCCAGGTGTGCTCCTCCTGGTTACAACTCCTTTCATGAAGTCATGACTCAGAGACTGACAGGCATGGTTTTCACAGTTAAAATGCTGGTCAGTGTAGCCCAACTGATGAGGAGTATCCCCCAACGCTATGCAACTGAAGAATATTAATATGCAAAGACTAGAGCACCTCTCTCACTGCACTCTCATTCTCCAGTGTTTTTCCTCTAATTACCTAACTGGATAATTGCTAACTTCATTTAAGCACTGACCCCTCAAAGCTGCTTGTTCAAGTGAGGCTTCTAATGGCCCTGTTAAATTCTGTAGCTTGCATGTACCCCATATTCGAGAGTCCTTTATATTTACCTTACTCTAATGCTTATTTTTTCCCATGGGTCATAAACCAAGTGCATAGCTTATTGTTTGTTTACCTGGTATAGCTTGGCTAAAATTTCAGCTTTGTAGGTAGAGAGAGCTTTGACTATTATACTCTCTGAGGTATTCCAAATACTTAACACAGTGTTTGGTATATAGCAAGAGCTCAATGTGTATTTATTGAATAAATGAACACATCTCCCATAGCAGAGATGGCATGAGAGAAAATGTCAAGCCACACACTCTAAGAGAGCTTAAAATAGACACTATGAAGAGGTACAAAAATATACATTTTTCTGCTGGGTAGAAATACAGTGAATTAAATTGCTCAATGCATATAAATTGTTTATAACTTCTAGGAAAGGAGGAACAGGCACTTTTGTTCCCTAATAGATTTTTGTCTCCAATCTCTTTGCTCACAATGAATTTTAAACATCAATGTCCAAATATAAATAAAAGTTAGGAGAAAGCCCTCATGCTGTATATCTTTCCTGTGAAAGCGGCCACAGCCCAGATTTCAGACCAATAAGAATACCAGGTGGTATTAATCTGTTGCTAATTTTTTTTAATCCTCCTTCCCACAACCAAGTAGAATCCTTAGTTAACATCGGGTGGCATTTCTGTGAATTCTTCAAGACTCCTAGTTCCTAAAATTTCACCATTTGGAAAGGTTTATTTAAAACATCAAGCTCAGAAACATTTTCAAAGAGCAGAACAAGAGGCCTGAGTTCATTGCCAGTGAAATTTGTCAGCCTCTGTTTTTCAGACATTAAGGCATAGTCAAAGGAAGATCAATCCAGAAATTCACCTTGGATACATCTTGAATTTTTGCCATTCCACATTATTTTTGTGGAAAAAACATACTGCATATTAATATATGTATATATATTTATGTATGTTGGTATATGTTTCTACTGTGCCTGCCATGAGAATCAGTATGCTCTAATAGAAAACACATCCACTTCAGAGACATACCAACTTTAACTAGAGTCTTAAAGCCAATTTTAACTCCTCTCACTCTTAAAAATATCTCACTTGGATGATAAAATCTGTGCTATCCAAAATACTCTTTATATTTAATTAATGTGTAACTCAGTTATAATTATTGGCCAGCAGTAAGTATTCATAAAAGGGAGGCATTATGTAACAAATGTAAATCCAGCTCGATTTTCTCATCATCATTAAGAAGGCATTAACCTGACTTCTAAGAGAATTGCAATAAGTATTAACAAAGAAAATTGAGGTAAGCTTATAAATCAACAAACATTTGAAAATAACAGGGAGAAATCACTAGTCATCCCACCAAAAGAAAAAAATATATATTAAGGTCATCATCAAACTCAGATTCTAGTCCTGCTTGCTTCTCATTGAAAACTTTTCTGAATTATACTTCCATAGGGGAAAAAAAAAGGTTTCCAAATTGTCCAGAGGAAATAAATTACCACTCCTTGAAATTATTACATATTATGCTGCCCAATGAAATCAGGGATTTTTCTTCCTAGAGGAAACAAGCTCATTGGAAATAGCAACTCAACAGTCATCCTTCTTACAGTGTCTCCTACGTGCTAGACGTGGGGTTTGGTGTTTTACACACCTGATAATCATGGTTCTCAGCCCAGCAACACAGGCAATGTTATTAGATTCTGTCTGCTGAAAAGAGCAATGTCTGAGAGAAATCGTATAGCATGTTCAAAGTTACACAGCTGGGAACTGATGGAGATACAACTTTAATCCAGGTGTAGCCAACATCAAAGGGAACAGAGACCCAAGAGTTATGCCATTTTCAGGCCCCTGTTCTGCTCTAAAATTAGCATTTTGAAAGATGGACACAAATGTAAATACAATGTGAGGCTGTACATTAACATATAAAAGATCACAAACTCCATCTATTTTCTCTTGAGATGAGAAATGATAAAGATGTAAGGAGTCGTTTTTTGTAATTAAAAAAAAAATGATCGATGAGCATGCAAAGAGTTCGCTCAATCAACAATGGTTCCAGTCATGATGTGAGGAAGGGAGTGCAGACTCTGGCAACAGAAACTTGCCTTTCTCACCCCCACTTCCATCAGCACTTGCTGGGCTTGTAACCCTACCTACCTTTCATACATCACCAAGTGATGAGTTCACACAAGAAAGCATTTTTTGACTCATTTTTATTTTTTGGTTGTGGAAAGGAGTCTCATATTTCAGAAGCTAAAAGAAACTATACAAAACGACTATCTTAAACAGATACAGACTTAACAGATACAGTTCAAGGCAACTTTCTACCAGAAATGACCACAAATCCATATCTAACAGACATCTGGACAGCCAGCCTCAAATGACTCTGTCATTATCAGACTCCGACTACTGTCGTCCAACAGCCTAGACAAAAATACATTAGAGGCCTCTGCCAGGGCATAGTTAGACAGGCAAGATATAACCAACATCAAGATCATACAATACAGTTATTAACAGATAATAACTCCTTTCCCACAATTCTCTGGTCCCCTGGGGACTCTGGAATAAAAACAATACTACAGACAGGCAGTGAGAGCAGAGACAGAAGAGGCTTGGAATAAAAATGTTGACAATGATTAGCTATGAAACTTTAGGATTATGTAATCTGTCTGAGTAGTCATGTATTCATTTACAAAACAAGAGTATTAGGTTGTTGCACGAATTAGGTGTGTTAGGGCCAGGGATGTGGTGCAGCAGGTTAAGCCATTGCTTGTGACACTGGCATATTGCATCAGAGCTCCAGTTCGAGTCTCAGCTGCCTAGCTTCTGCTGTGGCTCCCTGCTAATGCACCTGGAGAAACAGCAGAGGATGACCCAAATCTTTGAGTATCTGTCACCCATGTGGGACATCTGGATGCAGTTCCTGGCTCCTGGCTTTAGCCTGGCACAGCCCTGGCTGTTGGCTGTTGTGGGCATTTGAGGAGTAAACAAACAGATGAAAGATTCTTTGTTTCTGACTATCTCTGCCACTGTTTCACAAACATTTGAAAAATCCTCTAAAAATATTATTTGTGTCATGTTGGGGAATAATACCTAAAGAATTACTATGTGACAAGCATTAGATAAAGTACTGCTTGTAGACAGACTAAATCACTAGAATTAGGTAACTTGATGATATTCACATAATTAGGAAGTCACAGAAACAGTGTTTGAACACAAGGAGTCCACATCAAAGCCCTGTGAACCCACTATATTGAATTGCCAAGTATGGAACTCCTATACTCAGTGCAGACTCAAGACATATGAGTTGTGGCTACTTTTATTACTGTTAATATCCCTGTCACCTCATCAAATGACTTTATGCTCATAAATTGAAATACTCACACCAAAGAATGCATAATACCTGGGACAGGGCTGTAGAAGTTCTCCTTCAACCATGCAGGCTTCTTTCTCAAGAAGTTCGGGGCATTCCTTTCCACCCCCGAGAGCGGTGTGCTTCACGTTCCGGCTCCTGCTCCTAAATCCTGGTGAGAGAGTCCCTGAACGGCAGGTCTTGGAGCAGGGGCTCCAGGGCGACCACTCGGTAGTCTCGCAGTCTTTCGGCATGACGCAGGACTGGACAGTCAAAGGAAAGGAGTCTTGTGTGCAAAGGCTGGAAGAATAGATGTACAAAATGGAAAACCATAGATTAAATGGCTGCAACAAATGTCTGGAAACCTCTACCATGAGAAGCAAATGTGAAATCTAGTTTAAGCTTTATATAGGGAGATGGAAAAAAAAAAAACTATTAGAAACATCAAGATAAACTATCACCCAACATCATGATTTAGGATTGTGCATTCTATTTCACCTGAAAAGGTGTGGCTGTTCCACTCTAGCAAGTCACATGGATGAGGGAGGGTCTGCCTGGTCCCTTGTGCACAGGACTGTAAGCAGTGGTGGTCCTTCTAGAGGGCCATCATAAACGATTTTGAGCCTGCTATTACTATTTATGGACTGGTTCCCAGGACTCAACACTGTGCCAAACTATACAGATACTTCATCACAACAATCATACGAGCTCAATTTTAAATCTTCATTCTGGATAAGAAAACTCAGGCTCAGGGAAGTTAAAATATTCGACCAATGCAAAAAATAAAAAAAAAGGTAAAATGAATCTTTAGGGTAGTAATCTACCCACTCGTATAAATACTTGGCTATTAAAAATGTGATATTGATTATGTTTCCTCACACTGTTAGGCTCAGAGCATCTATTTCTTCATCTGCAAAACACAGGCGTTCTCAAGTAAACAACAGCCTAATTGGGATGTGGATAAATAAAGAGAGAACGTGAGGAACTCAACAGGAAAGCGGTTAAGATGGGGAGAAACACAGATGAGACAGTGATGAACCACCCAGGAAGGCAAGGAGGTGCTCAGAGAGGACACCTGAGCTGCATTGTGTAAAAGATTAATGGGAGGGTCTCAAGCACAGTGGAAACACTATTTCTATGTTTATTCAAAAGAACAAAAAGTCAAAGCCTTGAGATAGCACCTTGTGGGGATAGGAGACAGTAGGATGCTGGAGCCTTCTATAATAGCACACAAGAGTCAACTGTTAAAATTTCAGGGATCCTGCAAGCCACTTGACTTCATATAAACACCTTAGAAATGGCCGAGATGAGAATATTATTCCATAGAAATTGAAAACGCTACAAATAAAGCCCTCTTTCCCCCCAAGAACTGGTTGCTTTTTCCCCCCAGAAACCTTTTATTTAAGGTATACAAATTTCATGCATTTCATAAATACAAATTTAGGAGCATAGTGAATAGAGTACCTAAAATGTAATCTATAGAAGCAAAATTGACACTTTGAGATGAGATGACTTGGAAAAGCCCGTGTCTCAACTGTTGAGGAAAAAAATTTTTTTTCATACTATTTGTTGAACTTTTTACTTAGTATAGGGTCAACTTTATGTGTATAAAGGGTGTGAGGAGCTGGTTGTTAAATACTTATAAGTATACCATTGGGGGAAAGTAAATGTCAACTTAAGCGTAAAGTATGTGGAAGAAAGTAGATCTGTGGATAGGTGTCTGACACAGTGGTTGAGACATTTGTGAAGATGCCCGCAATCCTTATCAGAATGCTTGGATTTGACTATTAGCTCCAGATCTCGATTCCAGCTTTCTAATGATGCACATCCTGGAAGGCAGCCAGTGGTTGGTTCAAATGGTTGAACCCCTGCCACCCTGCAAGTGAGACGGGATTGAGTTCCCATCTCTTAGCTGCAGCCTGGCACAGTCTTGTCTATCGTGGTTATCTGCGGCATGAACCAGTGGAAGGGATCATTCTATCTCATAAGGAAAAAAGTAGGACTCTCTCACTCATTCACTCTATCATTAAAAAAATAGGTCTTTTTCCCTCTCTCATTAAAAAAAAAAAAATAGGTTCCCTATCATGGGCTTAATTGAGCATTAAATGATTTTAAGTAAAATAAAATCTGTTATTTCCATAAGAAAATAATATTTCAAATATTTGTTTGCATTCTTTTATCCTGGAAACTTCATTTTATTATCCCTTCCCTTCTTCAAAAGTAACCATTACTTTGGAAACAAACAAGCAATTTGAATAGGGATGTTAACAAAAGAAAAATCAGTTCTCTCAAAGACTGATTTATTTATTTGAAAGTCAGAGTCAGAGAGAGAGAGAGAGAGTCTTCCATCTGCTGGTTCACTCCCCAAAAGGCTGCAACAGCCAGGGCTGAACCAAGCCAAAGCAGGAGCTTCATCTGGGTCTCCCACTTGCACGGCAGGGACCCAAGCACTTGGGCCATGTTCTGCCAGTTTTCCCAGATCATTAACAGGGAACTGGATCAGAAGTGAAGTCCCACACCACAACGGCATCCCAAGAAAAGGTCAATTCTAAGGTCCAAAGTTGAGCTGTTGAAAACTGGTAGAGGGCCGGTGCCATGGCTCATTTAGTTAATCCTCCACCTTGTGGCGCCAACATCCCATATGGGCGCTGGGTTCTAGTCGCCGTTGCTCCTCATCCAGGCCAGCTCTCTGCTGTGGCCCAGGAGGGCAGTGGAGGATGGCCCAAGTGCTTGGGCCCTGCACCCGCATGGGAGACCAGGAGGAAGCGCCTGGCTCCTGGCTTCAGAGCACGCTGGCCGTGGCAGCCATTTGGGGAGTGAACCAGCGGAAGGAAGACCTTTCTCTCTGTCTCTCTCTCTCACTGTCTATAACTCTACCTCTCAAATAAAAAAAAAAAAAAAAGAAAGAAAGAAAGAAAAGAAAACTGGTGGAATAATAAGGGCAACAGACAGGTTTATGGTAATGAATCCTCTGCACACAATCAAAAGGAGGGAGAAGCCAAACTGTCTCTGAGTCTGATTATGTGGCTAGAGGGGCTGACACCTACTGAAGATTGTATGCAGTGGAAAATAAAACATTCTTATATTTAGCCATGTTGATGAGTAAATTGTAGTTACATTTCCACCATGATATCCGTCATGAAGCCACTGAAGTCAATGTGTGATTAATAGAGAAAGGGTAAAATGATACAAGACAAACCTTTGATTTGATATTTTATCTTAAAATGCATAGTCAGGCCAAAGTCGGGGCCCAGGAGCTTTACCCGGGTCTCCCACATAGTTGCAGGGGCTCAAATACTTGGGCCATCATCCACTGCTTTTCCCAGGTCATTAGCAGGGAGTTGGATCGGAGGTGGAGCACCTGGGACAGGAACGAGCACCCATAAGGGATGTTGGTATCACAATGTATCACAATCCCAACCCCATTAATTTGAGTATAACTAACAGATGGGGGAGGTATTTAGCATAGAAGTTAAGACATCATTTGGGATGCCTACATCCCATATCAGAGTGCCTAGGTTCAAATACTAGGCTTCTGATTCCAACTTCCTGCTAGTGCACACCCTAGGAGGCAGAAAATGATGGCTCAAGTACTTGTGTTCTGAATTGAATTCCTAGTTCCTGGCTTTGACCTTTCCCTCCCTGCTATAAAGGGCACTTAGGGACTAAACCTTTGGATGAAAGATTTTCTCTGTCTGCCTCTGTCTCTGTGGCTTTTAAATAAAATGAAAATAAGTAAATGTTTTAAAATCTTGAGAATAGTACAGTTCTGGCTAAAATATAATTATATATTACAAAATGCATTATACATTTAAATGTTATTCCCTTCAAAATAAATAGGACAGTGTATACCTCATTATCATTATTTAATCCAATGTGCTGTCTTCATGGCTTAGAATTACAATATTAGGAAGAGGCTCTTCTGAAAGTACCCCACCTATGTCACTGTGCTTGAACAGCATGATTGTTAGAGGCAGAAGAACACTTTTTTCTGTTCTGTAACACAACAGAGAGCTGTTGATTAATACGTTTCTGGCTCTTACTTTTCAGAAAGTGTTATAGTTTGATGTGCAACCCCCAAATTTGGTATGCTGTTTCAAAAGTTCTTTAACTCTACATATAAGTGAGAACATGCAATATTTGTCCTTCTGTGCTGGGCTTTTTTCACTCAACATGATGTCTTCCAGTTGCAACCATTTTGATGCAAATGGTAGAATTTAATTCATTTTAACAGATGAATAATGTTACACTTTATACATACACACACACACCCCATATTTTCTTTATCTATTCATCTGATGATAGACAACTTGGCTAATTCCATATTTTGGCTATAGTGAACAATGCTGCTTATGAACCTGTTAGTACAGGTATCTCTTTGATACTATGTGTCCATGTCTATTGGGTGTATACCCAGTAGTTGGCTTATTAGATCATATGGCAAATCTGTTTCCATTTTTAAAAGAAATCTCTAAATTGTTTTCCATAATGGCTACACTAATTTACATTCCCACCATCAGCGTATAACAGTTCTCCTTTCTCTACATCCTCACCAGCATTTGCTGCTCTTTGTCTTTCGGATAACAGCCATTCTGACAAGGGTGAAGTGATATCTCACTGTGGTTTTGATTTTTATTTCCCTCGTGGCTAATGATAGTGAGCATTTTTCATATATTTGTTAGTCATTTACATTTCTTCTTTCGATAACTGTCTGTTGAGGTCCTTTGCCCATTTCTTCACTGGATTGGCTGTTCTATTATTGTTGGATTTTTTTAAAGATTCTATTTATTTATGTGAGAGAGAGATTTACAGAGGGAGAGACAGAGAGAAAAGTCTTCCATCTGCTGGTTCACTCCCCAAATGGCCACAACAGCTGGACCTGTGCCAATCCAAAGCCAGGATCCAGGAACTTCCTCCAGGTCTCCCACATGGGTGAAAGGGCTCAAGCACTTGGGCCATCTTCCCCTGCTTTCCCAGACCATACCAGAGAGCTAGATCAGAAAGGGAGCTGCTGAGACATGAACTGGAGCTGGCATCACAGGTGGAGGCTTAGCCTACTAAGCCACAGTGCTGGCCCTACTGTTGAGTTTTTTTTTTTTTTTAAATTGCTGATCTATTCTGGATATTAAGCCTTTGTTGCTTGTAAATATTTTTATTACTCTGCTGGCTATCTCACCACTCTGTTGATTGTTTTCTTTGCTGCGTAGAGGTTTATGAGTGTGATATAATCCTATTTATATAGTTTTGTTTTTATTGCCTTGCGCTTTGTGGGTCTTATCAAAGAAGTCATCACCTACACC